ACTAGTACTAGTACTAGTACTAGTACTACTGCTGCTGCTGCTGCTGCTGCTACTGCTACTACTACTACTACTACTACTACTACTACTACTACTATACTACTACTACTACTACTACTACTACTACTACTACTATGGATTGTTTCCTGCTGTGCCAGGGGGAAGCTCTGAAGCATTCTGTTTGGTCACGAAGGCCTTTGCTGAGAGCTCAGTGTCAAATCTAATTGCAGAGATTGGAAGTGCTTGTGTCATAGCTGCTGAGGAGACGTTGTCGAATCCCTCCGAGCGGAGCGTGTATGACGGAAGCCTGGAGGGCGATGCCAACTACAAAACCGGAGGCACCATCCTTACACACATCACGAAGTGGTGCATTCGGCTCTTCGAGCTCAAGTTTTTCAGGTTCAACTAACAGCGGATGCAAGCGGCGTTCGACGAGCGAAGATGGCCACAATGAATCTGGGGCAGGCAGATCCCAGCTTTCACTGCAGCACCAGCGGGTGATGATCTGCGTTCAGGAAGAGGAACCAAAGCGCCAGAGGAGAGTCTGACAACCCTTCACGAAGTACTGCGAGAAATGGGCAAGCCAATGCGTGACCAAGAGCTGCTGGTGTTGCACATAGTTGTGACTGCTCCGTTATGCTTACCGCAATGTCATTACAGATTGAAGGTCCAGTGTGCACCGAGCACAGAGAGATCACAGAGCACTGGTCCTTTGCTGATAGCATCATGCAGACAAATCCAGATAGAGTTTCTTTATGTTGTCGGGTGAGTGTAGACATGAATTTCCAGCAATGCCCCATTCTACCCACCTGTTGAAAGTCGGCCAGCCAGCATTTTGGCCGCGAGACAACTTTCCTTTCAGTTTGGCCTGGGGCCTCAAGGTTGTAGCTGTCTGTGCGCAGCACTCGTCTCCAAATCACCTTGCAACAAAGCGCCGTGACACCGAACGATCCCGCTCTGCACATCACATCATCGCCAGGAAAATCTTGGTAAACATCCGCTGTTACTGTTCTACACTGTTTGCTCTTCGTTGAACTTCCTTTCTCACTCCTGCACAAATGTTGTCGACTCCTGCACAAATCTTGTCGACTCCCGAGCCTTGCCTGGCATTTTCGAGGGCTGCGAATCGTGCCGCGCATGATCAGGATTTGCAAGATGCATGAAGGTGTTCGGACTGCTTTGCTCAAGTTCATGGAGGCGAGGACGTCAGTCGGATTTACGAAGCAGACGGACATGACGGAAGCATGACTGATATTGCAACGAGGAGAGGCGATCCCTGGAGAAGCCAGTAAAGTTTCGTGAACCGGTGTATGCTGTTGGTTCTAGCGCCTCTGTTGCAATATGAGAATCAGTTGCTCGGTGGCTTTCCAATGATTTTGGAGCCTAACACTGCAGCCGGCAGAGTATCAGGCTGCATGCGACTTCGAAGCTTTCGAGACTCAACTGGTCGCGAGAAGTTCAGCGTTCAATTAGATGTCGACTGCTTGAGGGCATACACCCGTCAGGCGCAGACTTGAAGCAGACATGAAATCAACTCTCGTGCTGGCTGCTCTCGTGCGCTGCGTGACAGGTGCCGCTGGAGAGTGCCGCTGAGCAAAAGCTCAGTAGACCTGCTCCGATAAGCAGATACACATCCGCAAGTCTTTATGCATCTTGTCGGGTTGACCCTTCCCTAGAGTTTCCGCGCGACTTTGAGGCCATCGAACATCAACTGGTGCTGTCTGACTTGAGAGACCATCTGCTGAAGGCAACCGGGCACTGTAGCGCCCTTCCCGTCTCGGCAGTTGGATCGCTTGGCCACGCATCTGAATGCAGGCTGAGGCATCATTCTGGAAACCGCCCTTCAAGATCTGCCAAGTTTTCCAAACCGTCACTTTGACCCTGTTGGATGGGATGTTGAGCTGTAGTCGAGGCTGGTTTCTGTCGAACAGCGAAGGTACTCTCATCTCACACCACTACAGTCTGCACGCTTGGCCTCAGCATCTTCGTTCAGATGCGAGCATCGGATCCTCAGCAAAAGTTGCGGTAGGTCAAAAAGTATGGTTCTGACGCATTCTGACGCTCTTATGCTGCATGACCACTGCGAACCGCACTTTTCAGGAATGGATTCCGAATGCTTACTCTCTCACGTCGCCAGTGGTGCACCTACCTGCACAGGCTCAAGGCCAGCAGCTTTGAAACATGTTGAAACTCTCCTCAAGGTCATGGGGTTCGACGAGACGGTGGCGCTTCGCCACCGATTGATAACTGCGAGGGCGACTTCTTGGGCGATGTTGCGTCGAGAGTGGGTGTCTTGGCAGAGTCGCTGATGTTCTAACGCTGTTAACGCCCGGCAGCGATTGGACCAGCTTCGGGAGGTGTGAGGTTTGAACTTCGGGGTGGTGCGTGTTCGGCATGCAGGGAGCCTCAGGGAGCTCGGGAAGTTTAAGGAGGCGCTGCTGATGAGTATTCTCAGGGCAGGAGCTGTAGCTGTGGTTGGTTGCAATGAAGCTTCCAAGTACACGGCTGCACTTGAGTCAGAAACAAGGTCCGCAGGAGTAGGTCTCTTTGCGACGAGAGGAGCCGAAAGCGATACGAGACTCTTTGTATCTTGCTTGGAAACCATGTGCCGGATGTGCGCATTTGCCCGAATAAGATGAACGAATTTCAACAAGTCTTTGAATAGTTTTCGAAAGGGCTTCAGAAAGTCCCCCCAGAAGAGTGGAGGATGCTTCGTTGTTTACTAATTAGGCGTGGTCAGACGGAGCAGCTGTTTGTGCCGACCCACCAGCCCAGCCCGACCCCAACACCCCAACCCGCACCCACAGGCAGGACACGCCGGAGTGAATTGCCGCGCCTTGTGACTTCTGAGCGGTGCTGCATGGCCGAGGTTGCTCTCTTGCAGGCGAGAAAGCTGGTGGCCAAGTTTCAGATCATGTGCATGTGCAGAGTCGAGTGGCCGATTCAATTGTCGTAAATGCTCAGGTACAGCATGACGGCAGGGGATGCATCAGTTTATGTCGACAAGGCCTCTTGCATTCCGATCAACATGGTCTAGTCTGTGTGCCTTCAGAGCTATTATGCTTGTCATATCTGTCCCCCATGTTGGCATGCAACTTTGCTTTGGGGAATGTAAAGTGAAAGCATGTCATGTGGCCCTGCATGTTCGCGAGGCAAGGGAGGAGCTTTTACGAAGGCGCCTTGTCCAGGCCACAACATGCGTGGAGCTGGCCCAAAAGCAGGACGGAACCATTCCTCCTACTGCGTTTGCTCGTCTACCTCGACTAATATGGGTACCGCTGCTCGTGCTACTACTACAGCTCCTCCTGCTCCTGCTGCTGCTACTGCTTCTGCTACTACTGCTACTACTACCTGCTACAACCTACTACTACTACTACTACTACTACTTCTTCTACTACTACTACTACTACTACGACAGCGACGACAGCGACGACGACGACAGCGACGACGACCACTGCTACCACTACGGCAAGGTAGTAGTAGTAGTAGTAGTAGTAGTAGTAGTAGTAGTAGTAGCAGCAGCAGCAGCACCAGTAGTAGCAGTAGGAGTAGTTGTAGCAGTAGCAGTAGCAGCAGCCACCCCCCCCGAGCAAGTCCAAAATCCGAAGCCCGAGTTTGCAAATTCGACAAGTCGGTTTTGAGGCTTCATAGGATGATCCTGCATGACGAAAGGATTTTGAATACCGAGTAAAATGGATGGTGTCTTAACAGTCTTAACATGGTGAAGACCAAGTGTAGTTGGTGGGAGGGGGGGTGAGTAGCAGTAGCAGTAGCAGTAGCAGTAGTAGCAGTAGCAGTAGCAGTAGTAGTAGTAGTAGTAGTAGTAGTAGTAGTAGTAGTAGTAGGCGCGCCCCCCCCTCTACCAACTACACTTGCTTCAACCATCTTAAGAGCACACCCGTTTTTCTCGGTATTTACAGCACT